TAAGCACTTCATTTTTTCAAATTCACAGTTATCAGCAGCTTCTGATTGGAATGAGACATGTGTACAAATATTTGCCAGACAGTTACATGAGGTATGATTTAAGCAGACTCGCACAACATCAATGTAAAAAACCTCCTCCCCTCTGTCTGAAATTATATTTAGTTGAATCCAAAGCAGAATATTTAGATGTATGACCCCTTTAATCTAATAGTAATTGCTCCCTTCTCAGGGCTCTCTGAGGTAGCCATTTCTCCCTGAACAGCACATTACTGTCATTCTGTTCCTCAGGAGGAAAGCTTCTTTCTTCATTCAGAGCAGCCCCTGCTGGCCAATGTGGCACACCGCACAATATATAGTGGCCTTGCAGTTTGAACAACAACTTTGAACGATCCAGAGTTTAAACTTCAGAGTAAAGATAAAATCTCTTCAAAGTTCGAACAACACTTCTGAGTTCAAACTGCAGGCACAGTAAAAAAGGTCACCTTTTAACTGCCTGCCTTCTTGAACGTTCTCACTGCCTTTTAACTGCCTGCCTTCCTGATCCTTCTAACTGCCTTTTCTATCCTTTTCTGATTTACCACTCCTCACTAAAAATTTGGACAGTAAATGCAATTTTCATTTTATTATGTGGTACTGTACATATTTACATATTTCATTAATTGTTTTCAAGTTTTAATTAACAAATTTGGCATTTAATTGTGTTATTTTACCTTAAATTATGTGTATTTGCTGTTTAAGTTTTTCAAGATGGCTTTTGTTTGGGGTCTGGGAAGGAATTAATTCATTTTCCATTATTTCTAATGGGAAACATTGCTTTGGACTTCAAATGATTCAGGGTTCAAATGGCCTCCTGAAATGAACTAAGTTTGAAGTATGAGATGCCACTGTACTTAAAAAAAAATAAGTCAATGTGAATTTCTTTAGCTCTGCAGGAATTTAATAATCCCCAAGACAACTCCCTAATTTAGTCATGAGTAGAACACTCAGTTGAAAAGGGAAATCCCAATTGTTTTTACATTGCTTAGTCCTCCCTTCAGTTGTGCCCCTGGGTGCATTCATAGCCACAAGAGTGAATGGCTAACATTCATTTGTGGGGCCAGAAGGAGAGAAACTGCATTTGGGATCCCATTGGACAAAACCTGCTTTTTTCCTTCCCCAACAGCAGCTTTTCTGAACTCTTTTTCCGGGTTCAAAGGCTAGGCACATTTTGGAAAAACAGAAGGCAGGGACCAGTTTGGGAAAAGGGGTTTGGTCTTGTCCTGTGCTCTGCCTGAAGCAAAGTGATTAACTTATGGTGGGAAATAGGGGAGAAGGGAAAGAATATTTATATATTTAGTTATAGTATTTAATTTCTATACGGCTTAGCAGCCAAAGCTCTCTGGGCAGTTCACAGCAACGTATTTTGAAAACCATATAAAACATACAATTATAATGTATTAAAACATTAAAACTGGCAATATAACATTTTAAACCAAAACAAAAATTTTAAGTTAAAAAGACCCAATTAAACCTTGTCTAACAGCAGCAGGACCCAGTAACTAATTAAATGCCCCACAATAGACGATAGTCTTTCTCTGGCACTCAAAAGATAGTAAAGTCGGTGCTAGGTGGGCCACAGTGAGGAGCTCATTCCACAACTGAGGGGCCACCACTGAAAAGGTTCTTTTTGTTGCCACCAAGCAAGTCTCTCTTGGAGGTGGCACCCAGAGGAAGGCCCCAGAACCTGTTTGCAGTGTTCAAGTAGATAAAGGTCAGGAGAAGCATTTAAGTCCTGTGGCCCTGCCATGTTGAGCTTTAAAGGTCAAAACCAGCACCTTGAACTGGTTTTGAAAGCATATAGTCAGCCAGTGCAAGTGGGCCAGAATTGGTGTTATATAATTGGACCATCTGATCCCTGTTAGTAATTTGACCGCCACATTTTGCACAAGCTGCAGCTTCTGAAGTCTTCAAGGGCAGCCCCATGTAAAGTGCATTGAAGTAGTCTAGTTTAGAGATTACCAGAGCATAGATCACTGATAGCAGGCTATCTCAGTCCAGATAGGGACATAGCTGAGCTACCAGCCTGAAGATGGCTCAAAGAACACCCCAAAGCTATGAAATTCCTCCTTCAGGAGTAGTGTGAACCCATCTAGAATACACTGGATTCCCTCCATCTGGTCAGAAGAACCACCCACATCACCCACATCAAGCCTTATCTGGATTAAGCTTCAGTTTGTTACCCCTCATCCAGGCACCAGTTCGGCACACCCATAGCTTCACCTATTGAAAATAAAAAGGAGAGATAGAGTTGTGTGTCATCAGCATACGGATGGCAATGCACTCCAAAATTCCAGATGACCTTACCCAACAGTTTCATATAGATGTTAAATAGCATGGGGGACAAGACTGACCTCTGGGGAACCCCATATTGGAGAATCCAAGGGGCAGAGCTATATCCCCCAAGCACCACTTCCTGGAGTCTACCATCCAAGTAGGAATGGAAGCATTGCTATGTAGTGCCTCTCACACCCAACTCATACCCAGTTGTCCCAGAAGGATACCATGGCTGATGGTTTTGAAAGCTGCCGAGAGGCCAAGCAGAACCAACAGGGTTGCACTCCCCATCTCTCTCCTGGCATAGGTCATCATCAAATAGGTCATTTTGGCATAGGTCATGCCAAAATCAGGACAGAGCCCCAACTGAAACGAATCCAGATAATCAGTCTCATCCAAGAGTTCCTGGAGCTGGTTGACTACCAACCACTGAAGAACCCTGGCCAGGAAGGGAATGTATGCCGCCAGGCTGAAATTGTTGAGTTCTTCTGGATCCAGGAAGGGTTTCTTCAGGAGTGGTCTTACCACTGCTTGTTTCAAGGGGTCAGCAACTACTCCTCCTCATAAAGAAGCATTAATCACTTCCCTGGCCCAGCTGGCAATTCCCTCTGTCTTGGCTTTTATTAGCCAAGAGAAGCAAGGATCCAGTATGGATATGATTACATGAACTTGTCCAAGCACCTTGTCAACATCCTCAAGTTGAACTAACTGGAACTAATCCAAAACAACTAGATTAGACTGCACTCTGGATATCATACCTGATACCACTACTATAACTTTGGAGTTCAAGACCTGATGAACACAAGAGATTTTGTCCTGCAAGTACCTACCAAACATATTATAATAGGGCTTTGGTGGCTCCAATATGTCCTTGGGGTCAACATGTAATAGGCCGTGGGTGATCCTGGAGAGCTCCACTGGATGGCAAATGGAAGACTGAATGGAGAAATTTAGATATTGCTTCTTTGCCCCTCTCACTGCCTCTAAATATATTTGACTATAGGCACATACCTGGACTCAATTGAACTCACTAGGAGTTTTTCTCCATCGGCACTCAAGCTGTCTCCTGATTCATTTCATTGCTCTCAGCTCTGGGGTACCCCATGGAGCCATACAAGCTCTACTACAGAGAGGGTGCTCAGGTGTGACTGTGTCAGCAGCCTGGGCCATCTCTGTATTCCAAAGATCAACCAGGAATTTGACAGGATCACCAGCCATGTCAGCTGGAACAAGTGCCCCCCCCATCCCCATCCCTCTGGAAACCCTCTAGATCCATCAGTCTCCAGGGGTGGACCATCTTAATGGCCCCCCACCCCTGAAGAGGGGAGAAGTCACCATTAGTCTAAAGCTCAACAGGCAGTAATCTGACCATGAGAGGGGGACCAATTCAAAATCTCCCACCATCAGATCATTATATCCCTGCCCATCTGAGAAATCCAGAGTGTGCCCTGCTACACACTTTGGGCCAATAACATGTTGGAACAGCCCCATGGAGTCCATGAAGTGCTGAGCTGCCCCAGAAAGTATACGCTCAGCATGGATGTTGACATCCCCCAGGACCAGCAGCCTGGGGAACCTCAACATCACAGCCAAGACAACCTCTGTCAGCTCAGACAGAAAAATTGTTGGATCACAGGGTGGATGGTACACCAACAGGATCCCCTATCTTTCTCACTGGCACAGCATACTCTAGGCTAGGAATCAGACAGAGAGGGAGCTTGGAAAGAGAGAAAGAATTCCTATAGACCATGGCAACCCCAGGCCTTCTGTCCACCTTGAATAAGGGTCAGCAGGAAGGGCAAGGACTTTCCATCCTTCTCCCCCTCCTCTTTAACCTGATGGATCTTAGCTAGCACTGAATAAAGTCTGGGAGTTTACATATCTTATTATTTGATACTGGTTCTTAATTACCACTGACCTATTTATATTTGAGAAATACAATCTGATGGGTCTAATTTTCTTTTTCTTTTCTTTCTTTTCTTTTCTTTTTCTTTTCTTTTTTTCTAGCAGATGTTCATTCCAAGATGTAGGATTCCATTGCAGGCCCTATTACTGCACTCCCTCAGTTCCCATAATTGCACTCTTTTTTTACATATGGCTATGCACAAAGCATGCTGTTGTACAGAGGAGTTGTTTCAGTTTTTTTCCTATTTTGTAATTCCTCTTAATATTTTATGAAATACATTTGTCTCCAGTGTCTTGATGTGAGGCCAAATACATTCTTGCTGCAGCTTTCATTAAGAGCACATCAGTCCTGGAATGGAGTTTTCCAGCTTCCTGATTGCCAGATTAATCATATGATCAATTGTTTCAGAACAATTCTGAGCCATCTGATGCACAGCAATGCTGCCTTTCCAGAACTTCAAGGCAACTAATATAAAGCACCCAGACAAACAGGAGACCTAATTTCAACCCCTGAAATTGTTTAGACTTGCTTTAAACGTAATGGCCATTATATGGCAGTTAATTCCACAAGTGGCAGGAAGCGAGGTGCGAAGTACAGCCTTTTTCCCCCTCCTGAACCTCCTGCCAAACCATTGCCCCGGGTGACCTCGCTTGCTCGCTCTGCGCTCTGCACATAATTTGTTTGGGTTGCGTCTTGCCTCCAGGGGGCGGGCAGACTCGCCCTAGCGGAGGTGGAGTTTCCACTTCAGGGTCTTTTGCCCCGTGTTAAGCCAGCGGTTTCAGATCCTTCTCCTGCCCCAGCCTGGAGCGGCGGCGGCGGCAGCCCTTCTGTCACGATGCTGGCACTGCGGCTCGGCCCGGCTTTCCTGCTGCTCCTCAGCTACTGCTGCCCCGCGTCTCTCGGACAGTCGGCCGCCCCCGCCGGCTGCCCGCCCTGCGCCCCGGCTGAGTGCCCCGTGCTGCCGCCCCGGCGCTGCCCCCTGGGCAAGGTGCGCGACAGCTGCGGCTGCTGCTGGCGCTGCGCGCGCGGCGAGGGCGAGGCGTGCGCCCCCGGTGCCCTCGGAGGGGGCGCCGCCGATTTGGGGCGCTGCGCGAGCGGCCTCGAGTGCCGCCGTCGAACCAAGGGCCGCGCGGTCGGCGTGTGCGTCTGCAAGAGCCGCTACCCGGTGTGCGGCAGCGACGGCCTCACCTACCCCAGCCCTTGCCAGCTGCGGGCGGCCAGCCTGCGCGCCGAGAGCCGTGGCGAGCGCCCCGTCGGGCAGCGCAGCAAGGGGCCTTGCGAGCAAGGTACGCCCGCCGTCTGCGCGCGGAGCGGCGGGGAAGGTCGGAGCGAAAGGCGCGGGGCGGCGCGGATCGCGAGCAGCCTGTGGGTGACTGAGCCCGAGGTCCGCGCGTGCAGTCCGCCCTGGGCGAGCCTTGCTTCCGCTGTGAGCGAACGAGCGGGGATCGGGCGCAACACTGCAATCCTACCAGGTTGAGCAGGCTGCCTGAATATGCCGGTAATTACGAGTCCCAAGTACGCAAAATCAGAAGTCTATTGAAGGAAGCTTATCTTGACAAAAGATCGGTTTTTACTTAATATAGAAGAACTGCCTGCTGCTCTAACAAATTTTAAGGGCTGTCCACTTAAGTTATTCCTTTTCAACCTCACCACACCTGTCAAGGCTAGCTTGAGAGAAAACGACTTGCCCAAGCTTGCCAATGTATTTTCATAGCTGAGCAGGGCTTTTGAGCTGGGCTGTAATCCTATGCACATACAGGATTATGCAAATAAACTTCCTAGGGCATACTTCTCAGAACAGGCCTGGTGGTGGCTTTCTTAACTCCCATGACTCTCTGTTGATGGTTATTTTGGTCCCCCCCTTTAAATCTCTCTCTCTGGGTCTCTGGGGTTACTTTTTTGTTTGATACTAGGCACCTGTTAAAAACGATTGCCTTTTTCACAATTATCTCAGGAAGCTTGAAAGATTGGATAGCACCCAACTGGAGCCCCTTGTTTCTAAAATGAAACATGGATATCACTTTGCTTCAGCAGGTTCTCTTCCCCTGCTTCCCCTTGTATTTGTACTGCTAGCTTATATCTTAATATTGTTAGCTGCTTAGAGAGCCCTGTCTGGCTGTTAAGCAGCTTATAAATTTGCAGATGAATTTAAAATAAATATTAAATGTGCATGTGATAATTCTTTTGGAAATTGAGACATTCTGTACATGCTCAGAGGCCATGTCAGCTTATTGTTACCTTCTGCCTAAGAACAGTCTCTTAATTACAGTGGCCATACTTCAAGTCAGCAGTGCTGAGCAGAGGGCTTTGTCAGTACCTGTTGGTCACTTTCAGAATTTTTAACCACTCCAGATTTGCCTCCATTGGTAGATGAATTGTTTGGCAGCTAGGAATAGGATAAGAGAATGAACAGATTTTGTTAGTTGCCCTGAGCCTTGGAATGGGTGGGATGTGCTATAAACAGCTGTTCATATGCAAAATTGAAATCAATACATGTAAGCAGATCTAATATTGCAGGCAGAGGTTGTGTGTTCCCACATTGGAATCTGGAACATAAAAGAAGCCATAGGACTTCTCTGATGGTCAACACAGATTAACCTGTGTTTGGTTCATTATTTGTGTAACAAAATGGAGAGGTTCCATAATAAATGAATCGCCTTTTCAGTCAGGTTGGTTCAAAGAAACTCCTAGTATTTTGGTAGTGTGCTTCTGCCCCAAACATGTAGAAAGAGGGTGGAATGGGAAACATGTTTTTAAAACCAAAAGCAATAGCTAAAGGGTGGTGAGTCCTCTCCCTGCACAGCCCCTCTTCCCAAGAACATTTCTTTTAGCTAAGCACACATCCAATATCAGAGCTCATGTGAGGAGAAAAGTCCTGATGAGAAATGGTGTGGACTTTAAACAACCTTGCCTGATGCATAAACCCTTTTTGGTGTTATAAATGGACTGCCTCAGCCCGAGTGATGGGTACAGATTTATGCTGACTCCACTGCACCTGTAAGAGTAGACTGCCCTCCCTCCCATGGCAGCCCCTTCAGCCCTCTGGAAATGCTGTACAGCGACCCTGCTGAATGGAATGTACTCTGATGTATCCCCCAAGATTAGAAACAGACTCCAGATCCAGCCCTAGGTCAAGGTGTGCTTCTAAACATACAGTCTACCAACATCACAACTAGCCTAGTACTCAGAGCAGTGATGAAAGTGAGCAGGTAAGATCAGGCACAAAATTCAGACATAAGCTGTAAGCCCTAGAAGTTTAATGGCCGGTTTAATATGTTCATAGAACATTGTCAAGATGAGAACAGGAGCTGAGGCCTTTGTGGTACCCTGCCTTCTCCCCTGAAACAAAGCCCTGTTATTAATTCTCTGTATTTGATGACAGGTAAGGAAAAGGTGCAGAGATGCCTTTCTAAAAACAAAGCTAAGTGATGTAACTTCATGTCTCTTTCTTTGATGAAGAGCATGGCCCTGGATGGGAGAAAGTGGAGATCAAGGGTTTTGCTTATGAGGGGAGAGGAGAAAAGAGGCGAGAATATCAGCCATCCTGTTTTTCTTTCAACTGTCTCACAGCCTGTAGAAGCTTGAGTCATTTATTGTGGTTAATAGTAATTGATAAATCCATCCTCCGTGAATGCATTTAATCCTTTTTCAGTCCGCTAAGATTATGAACATCACCACTGCCTGTGGGCATGAATTCCCTAATTATGTGTTATGTAATAAAATACTTCTTTTGCACTTGAATTCCAGCTGTCCTAATTTTGAAATAGCAAAATAGTTAATATCTTTCCCATGACTTGGCAATAACGAGACTAGAAATAGAGAAAAGTTCAGCTAACAGCCAAATTTCCTGAACAACAACAACAACAAATAGCATTAAATACCCTCAGCAAGAATACACTTTCACCTAAGTGGCACTAATTCCTTGGCAGAGGGTGCTCAGACTCTTCATGTTTATATTTGTGTGTGCATGCATAGGCTTTTTCCATTTTTCCAGCCTTGTAATTCAACTTGCCTGCCTTTTCATTTTCATTGCTGGGGTTGGAGTCTTCAAGTGCTGTCATTCTCTGTTAGAGAGGATGGCTGGTTACAAAAAAACAAACCCAGCAGGTTAAGTAGTTTTAACAGTTTTGTATTGTTAGGCTTTGGATGAATGTCATCAACTTAGTAGTGATTTTATTTATTTATTTTCAGATGTATAGGCTGAATAGCCCGACAGGAAGAGTATCTTCAAGCCCCCCACCCCTTATTTTGCTCTGGTGATGCAAAAAAAACTTCCCCAAATTCTCTGTGTTAGCTTCCCCAATTTGGTGCTCTCTAAATGTGCAAGTACAATTCCTATAATCTTCAACCAGCATGATAGTGCTGTATGAGGACAATAGAAGTTGTAGTCCCCCATGTCTGGCAGGCACCAGGTCAATGAAGGGTGTATGGTTAACTTAGAAACATAGAAACAGCGCGAGTCAGAAGGGGTCTCCTGGGCCATCTAGTCTGACCTCCGGCACCAGCCCGCTCTGCTCACAACATGCCCACCATGTGGACGTCCAGCCTATCCTTGAACACCCGCACCGATGGGGCCTCAACGACCTCTCGTGGAAGCCCATTCCACACCCTCGGGGTCCTGACTGTCAGGAAGTGCTTCCTGGCATCCAAATGGAACCTTGGCTCCCTGAGCTTGGCTCTGTTGGAGCATGTTCTGCCTTCCTCTGCATGGGAGAACAGGTCTGTACCCATCTCCATGTGACATCCCCTCACATACCTGTATGTCGCCAACAGATCCCCTCTGAGTCTCCTCTTCTCCAGGCTGAAGAGACCCAGTTCCCTCAGTCTCGCCTCATACGGCATCCCCTGCAAACAGGCCACCAACCTTGTGGCCCTACGCTGCACTGACTCCAACCTGGCCCACCTTACTCAGCCCCAGGCTTAATGAAAGGTTGGGTGTTCAGTGGTTGCCATCTTCAGTAAACTTAAGTGGAAGTGACAACCAGTGGTGCTTAGGTTGCAGTCCTAGGCACACTGGCTGGGTTTACCTGTCATGGCAAGTAACCTTGCATGGTTACTAGTTTTTGGATTTTTTACTTCAATATGCCTGACAAACAATCAAGCTCACAGTGGTAACTCTCTTCATTCCTGCCATCTCCTCCTCTCTCTTCATCCTCAAGGCAGTATCCCAAGCAGCACCACAGGGAGGAAAGGGGCTCCTTTCTTTGTCAGTCAGATTGTGAGCCAAGGTTGGTTCCTGGCAACTCAAGTAGTCTCTGTTGTGCAAACAGGGCTCTTGTCCTGAGGTGACCACTGGGACAGGAGGGGGTGCCTCAGGCAAAGGGCAGGAGAATCAACTCAGGTACACTGCAGAACGGAAGGGAAGGCCCTTTGCATGTGAGTGGAAGGGGCAAGAAATGGCTAGCCAGTGTCAGGTTCAGAGGCACTGCTGTTCACCTTATCACCCTCTTCCCCATCATATGTGCCTGAGGAAATCTCCTCGTGCATGTGAGCAGGTTAGGGGAAAATCAGCTGGATGGTGGTGCCAGCTCAACCCTTTCTTCTGCTCCTGCTTGCCGGGGAGGCATTCTGACTCTGCACACACCCAAGCACCTTCCTTGCACGGGGCAGTGATGAAAAAGAGGTGGCACTTGCCCCCCCCCCTTTCTTGCACCCACTTGCCAGAGAGACATATTCAGCATATTATGTTTTTCCACAAGTGCCTGGCAGATAAAGAATCAGACGTGTGGATATTTCTCATAGGAGAAAGTAATTTGAAAGTTATCTCAGGGTTGCCCAATCTAATCCTCTGCAGTGGCGGGATCCCACAGGCAAAAGCCACCCACAGTACAGCCCAGATTAGGCATTTATGTGTAGTTAAAGTTCTTAGGTCAAAGAAAGGCCTTCTTTTGAGGACAGAGTCCTCATGATATTTCTGAACCTCTGTTGCTGCATACTTTCCACCGGAAGTGTGACAAATGAGAATTAAACCATCTGCTTCACAAGAGACAAATACTTTTCTTTGTTCATGATAAGCTGCTTGTCATGCCATGAATTTGAAAAAAAAAAGTCCACACTGAAAGATGTCATTGAATTCCTGGAAAACAGTACTTCAGGCTGGCCATCTGTGAAAGGATGCATAGTTAAGTTAGCATCTCTTTTTTAAAAATACATATTACCAAACATTTAGTGTAAATGAGTTTTTGAAATATTGAAAGGACTGCAAGGTAACACTATTTTTAATAATATAATAAAGAAAAGTTATGATGCTTACTTAGAAGGAAAAGCCACCTGCTAGCCACAATTC